TTATAAAAAAACAGTAATTATTTTTGTCTGGTTTAGTTATATTTTTGATTATGTAGCGTACATTTATAAAATATAGTTTATAACAGTGAAGCAATGTCTACACTGAGTTTTATGAGAGAATAAAATCGGAACAAACGAAAACTCGTCTGTTTCGCACATATTCTCTACTACTAGAAAGCCTTCTCACTCTACAGCCATTGGCTGTCATCGAATATCCCGCCAATTCCGGGCGTATCACTATCCTCACATTGCACGTTGTTCTTCTCCTATGCACAGACTGGCACAGACCAATTCTCTTAGTAAACTCATTGTTAGTATAAATATAAGTTGGCACATACAATTGGCATTGTCTCTTTATAAGTTTGGTAAGTACATAATTATTATTATAATTATTTTTAAATATTTAGTCTACTACTTTTCGAGTTACAAATTATCTTAATACTAGTTTTTTATATACAAGTTGCGTGTACAGGTCGGCAATTTTGCGCAGTGTATTTATTATTCATAAGTCTATTGTCATTGACAATTTGAAAGTATCTAAATTTATTTTACTTCCAGAAATTCTGGTTTGACATCTTTACAGTATATAACTGGCATATGGGTTTTTTTTCTATGCCCTCTGAGCCATTACAACATTGATTGCATCTTTACGGTATTTTAGTGAGTACACACAATTAATCTTAATTATTCTTAAATGATAAGTTAAATTAGACGTTATAAACGATGATTTTCCAATATTATTTTGTTATATGCATTTGTTAAAAGTTGTGTAATATTTGTTACAGCATAATATTTATGCATAATAATATAAGAATTATTGTTAAAATTTTTTTCGATATTATAGAGGCTGTTCGTACAATTTACAGTCATATGACGGACAACAATATAGCTGAGTACACGTCAAAATGGCTTGCTCAAGCTACATTAAGAATTTCTAGAGAAAAGTATATGCGTTATATACTATTATATATAAAATTCTGTACTTTTTTAATGTTTTTTAAATCCACTTTGTAAATTGTTTTAGGCAAAGTACTCTACATAAAGAAAACGACGAAGATCAGCAATAGGTGGCTCAAAATGACTTTTATTTTATTTAAACAAAGAGAAAAATGACAAACATAAGAAAAGTATTTATTTTATTTTAAAGAAACACTATGTTCTTCTCTCACAAAGAAATGTGAAAACTATTTTGCTTAAAAGAAGGTAGTCATAAAACATTTTATAAACAAAAAAAGTTATTTTTATATAACAGTTATATATTTATTTTTATAGAACAGTTTTATATATTTATTTTTATATAACAGTTATAAGAAATTTATAAGACAGTTATTACAGTTATTACAGTTTATATAAGATATTACTAACGTTTATAATAGATTATATTACCAAAGATAGTATTAAAATATTATAGAAGAGTAAATTAGATTTTTATTTTTTACATTATGTATGTGCAAATTAACATATATATTGAAATGTGATATATATTGAAGACATTAAAATGTACAATTTATAGACATTTTTTAGTTTTAAAAATAAAATAAATTTAATTTGTCTATATAAAACTTTTCATTTTTAAAGTTTACTTTTTTATTCTTTTGTGTATATATGTATATATATATATAAGTAGGTTTTTTTACCAACAATTATTAGGCTTCTACTAATCTAGTTTAATAGCATTTACAATTGTAACTATATTATTTGAAATTATACATAGTTTAATACTTTAATGTATGTTATAACAATAATGTATTTTCACACTTAGTGTTAACAAAACATAAAATTACCATTTTTATTTTTATGAATGTCTGTATTCTACTATTATAAAAATTGTTTGATATAGTCAAGATTATACTTATTTAAATAATAAAAGCACGTCAACATTTTAATAAAGTTATTAAAATAAAGTATTATTAAGTAGTAATAAGTATTATTTTGTCTATATATCAAGAAATTTCTAAGGGTAAGGGTACTTAGGATGTTATTAAAGTAAAGATACTTTAATAACATTCATAAAATTATAACTGCTAATTTAAACTATTTTCATAAAAACTATTTAAATGTCATTGTTACTGTTTAACATACATTAATGTTTACACAATTTTGATCAATATAGTTAAAATTGTAGATGTTATTAAATTAAATTAGTAAAAGCGTATAAACGTAATCCATCAAATAAAAAAACATATTTTGCAATATTATATAAATATTACATTTTAATATTGCTATAATATTGTAATGCAATGAAAAAACATATTTTGCATTATTATATATATATTTTATTTTAATATTGCTATGATATCATATTTTAATATTGCTATGATATTATGTTGCAATTTCTAAAGGCGGACATTTTACCGTTGCTGTAGTGTCACAATAATGTTACTGTGATATTTTTCACCGTACTTGCAATATTGCAATCTTGCAACGAAATATTTATGCAATATTCCTGCAATCGTTTTGTGCTGTATGAGCACGTAATTGAATGTTTGTTTAATTCAACATTTATTCCCATCTCTCATTCTTTTTTTCATGCATTAAAAATTTTGAAATTACTTTATGTTCTTCATCTTCGTGCACTTCATCTTGTAGTTCGACTTGTTCTGCTTCTAAAATATAAAAAAAAAATGAGGGGTGGGAGTAAATGTTGAATTAAAAAAACATTTAACCACGCGATTATAAAGCCTATAAAAGATCATGTAACTTTTATTTGAAATTTGTTGTATCTTTTACCAATTTGTTGTATCTTTTACCATTTTGACAAAATTCTCATAAAAAGAAAAAAATTTTTTTGTCAGAGAAGTGTCACTCCCAAAATGTGCAAGAAAGCAAATAAAAAATACGGGTCTGTTATTTTTTTAGCTACTCTACAACATATTCAAAGCTCATCAAAATCGGAGAGAGACACTTGCGTCACTTCCCTTGTAAGCTATACTAAGCGAACGAACTTGTCACATGCAAGGTGATAAGGAGAGGCGCGGTTGCCGAGCGCCTGCCGCATTGTTTTTAATCCATGCATAATATTCGCCGAATATTCGGTTATTCGGCACATAACATCGCCGAATATTCGATATTCGGTTAGGTTTCGAATACATCATTTGTTGCATTTCTAAAAAAAATAAGTTTTTTTCAACCTAAGATATACAAACAAAATAAGCAATCACTTCGCGATTGCTTAACACATAATACGTCAGAAGTCACTTTATATAAAATTCATGCAATTCACTGTTATATTATTATTGAAGTTTTATTACTCGAAAAAAAATTCTTTATGTAAATTTTATGCAAATCACTGTTATATTATTATTGAAGTTTTATTACTCGGAAAAAAATTCTTTATGTAAATTTCATGCAAATCACTGTTATATTATTATTGAGTTTTTATTACTCGGAAAAAAATTGTTTATTACATATATCAAAGGTCAAATCACTTAAATTTCATATTGCTTCGTATCAAATTACTCTTGAAACTCTGATGAAATAAACTGAAATGTTTACAAAACGTCGATATAAAAATGACACTAACGTTCACAAATCCATCTATAAATACGTAAGTTGTCTGAAAAGTTTTGAGCTTAACATAAAACCAAGTATTTTTTCGGTCAAATTCTGTTTTATTTTTCAACATAGTCTCCTTTTAAGTCGATACACTTTTTCCAGCAATGTTTTCACCTCTTTAACTCATTCAAAGAGTATCAGTGGTAGTCGCAGTTATTGTGGGCCGTCCGAACACTCATCAGCCAAGCTAATACGACCACGTTTAAATTCAGCTGCATCTTTTTACGGTAGCAAATGATGGGGTAGAGTTTCCGTAAACAGCGTCCAACTCGACTTTAATTTGCGCAGATATAAAAATTTAATCACGGCACGATATTCATTTTTTTTCATTTTTACAAAACCACTGACATCGACTGACACAAATGACTGTCAAACAACAACTGAGCATCCAAAATGGCTATAATTTTCACAGGTATTTCTTAAAGTATGTACGATTGTGTGTAGTACCAGAATAGTTTTGACGAGTAATACCATCTTCATGTTGAGACTCAAAACTTTTCAGACGATTCTCGTATTAATATAAAACAGCATCAAATATTTCGTAACATTATCTCTGTTGACATTATACTGTAACGCGTTATCTCGAACGCTGAAATTGTAAGCGTCAAACGATTAGATAATTTCACGTAACGTAATAAAACTTTACTTTTCAATACTATATATACATGTTATCAAAGTAGTTTGCTTATAGATTTTATAAGTGTTTATAAGTGTTTATAGACTTGTGAATGGTTATATTTCACAAAGCTCTATATTTGTAAGTTAAAAACAATCACCCATACAGTGACGTTTTTTCAAATATGTTACAGTGAATAGTTGACAATTGTTCTTAGTTATTATATTAATTTTGATTCGATTTAATAACTTTACACAAGGATTTATAATATACACGCACGCATTATAAAGTTACAAAGTTAGAATTGCTGAATATGATCAAGCTAAACTTCAAAGTCCCAAAACTTTATTTATGTAGACTGATGGTTTGTAACAGAAGTTGATTAACATCGCGAGTAGCACTGAAAATTCTAAAGAAACTAACTGGAAAAAGATATGTAGAAAATGTTGGATTCTGACAAAAAGTTGTGAATTATAAAATACATATATATGCGCAATTACGCGTGTGATAAAATGTGTGAACCATTCACAACAGCCAAAGCCATCTTTTGGAAACAGACCGAATAACTTGTACTCTCAATATACAGGGTGTCCCAGAATTGCCGTACAATCGCTCGTAGGCAGGTAGAAGGAGTAAAACTGAGTCGAAAAGTCCTGAATCATTTTTTTCTATTATTTGTAATAAAGGAGTAATTATTGAGTAAATCAGACCAATCAGCGCAGACCTTTAGCCAGACGCTCACGTCAGTGAGCCGCGCGCCTGGTGTGTGTGAGCGCTCACTGACGTGTGCTTGGCTAAAGGTCTGCGCTGATTGGCCTGATTTACTCAATAATTACTCCTTTATTATAAATAATAGAAAAAAATGGTTTAGAACTTTTTGACTCAGTTTTACTCTTTCTACCTGCCTACGAGAGATTGTACGGCAATTCTGGGACACCCTGTATATACATTATATGACGATACGACATGTATATATCCAAGAAGAATAATAATTACATAACACAAATTGCAAATGTCACGGTTTGTGTCGTCGTAAAAAAATAACTCGTGTTAAAAAACTAGACTATTTGCATAATCCGATAATTCAAAACACATTAAGATAGTCGGCTTTTCTGCGTGTAAAGAATTTGTTCTAGTCTTCTTTGTATCGAGCTAGTGTTCACACTAAGCATCAGTTTCTTCATATAAGGTAATGTGTCACCCTTACAGAAATTTATTACTTATAATTACTAAACTAAATTGAGTAATGAATTACTAGCCTACAATCCAGTGATAATTTAACAAATTACTGAGAATTATTGGATAATTACTGAGAACTTATTACTAATAGTGAATTACTGAATAAATTAGTGTTAGTGGTCGCATAGAAATTTGTTTGGGATTTATTCGGAAATCAGTTAAATTTTCCCAAAATATATTGGATTCGTCGTAGAAATTCTATATCGATTCCAATTGGAAGTGTAACCCTTACGAAAAAGAACTACTGCCGATTACATATAAATAAAATCAGTAATATAAATATTATTGACAATCACATAAGAATATTATTAGGTATTACAAGAATCACTGAGAATATTACTGGCAATTACACAGAATGCCAGTAATTTTTTCGTACCACTGTCGCAATATATTACTGCCAGTAGTTCTTTTTCGTAAGGGAACGCTTTGCAGTTTAAAATTTAAAAAAAGATTCTATCTAGAATCCAAGTAGAATACTTTACTAAAAGAAAATAAGTGACACATCGCCTTTTGGAAGGGGAATTACTTCGAGATTCGCCGATTGTCCGATGAACTCCGTTGAAAAGAACCAGACTTGAAAAAATCTTAAAAATGATGGTGGGATTTGAACTTGAGACCTCCATATTCGCAGCCCCCTCACTCATTGTCAGTCCGCGAGATCACTTGTTTCTTAATAAATCGTAATTATTTTTAT